AGACCAGAAGGGTCATCTAAGTCAGGCGTCTCCAACCTGGGCCACTTGAAGACCTGTGGACTTCAATTCCCAGAATTCTCCAGCCAGCAGAGCTATACAAACTATACAAGCAGAGCTGGCTGGAGAATTCTGGGAGTTGAAGTCCACCAGTCTTAAAGCGGCCAAGTTTTGGGGGGCCCTGATCCAGGAGGAGGAACGATGACCCCGACGGACGTCTCCACGGCCAGGAAAACCGGGAGGACGACCTGTTCCAGCCCTGACTGCCTGGGTGACCAGCAGCAGCAGCAGCAGCTCGGACGGAGCCTTGCCAGGCCGATGCCAGTCCAAGGAGGGGGGCCAGGCCAGGCAACCCCAATGCCCCAGGGGTCCCCAAAAGCTGCTTTGATTGGGACGGGCTCTAAGCAAAACCTTGATGGTGTTGGGGTCTCTTCTTATCCCTCCCGTGAATTTAGGGAGGGCCCCTCCTGAGCCGCCTGTTATCTGGACACACCCTTCGGCCTGAGCTCCCGTGTCTCCAGCCACGGGTCCGGTGCTGGGCTGTAGCCCACTGGGAACCAGGACGCGGGAGTGGTGGGCAGAGCTCCATTTGCACCCGTGTGTGTGTGTGTGTGTGCGCACAACCGCCCCCTCTTCCTCCCCTCCCTGCTGTTCAACAGGGCCAGAGAGATTGGGGGCCGAGCAGAGCTCCCCGGGTCTTGAGCCCTCGTTCTCGGGGCCAAAGCCAGGAAGGCGGCCCAGCATCCTCCTCAGCCGCACTCCTTCCCCCCCCCTCACTCTTGAGAGGAGGTGATCCTGCCCACAGGTGAGACCCCAGCACCTTCCCTTGACCGCCCCCCTCACCTTCTTCTTCTCCTTCTCCTCCTCCTGCGTCTTCTGACGCCTCCGAGGCCCAGGCGGCGTATTCGTGGATGGCTGCCACGCCCGGGTTGGGGGCCAGGAAGGGGCAGGGGTCATCCAGGTGGACGGTGCTGTGCTTCAGCTGGATCTCTAATGCGGGCAGGTAGACGCGGTCGGTGGGCTTGCCGTCCAGGGTCAGCTTCTCCAGGTGCACCTTGAAGGGGGACTCGGAGACCCTGCGGGGGTGATCAGGAAGAGGGAAGGCGGGGTGACCAACAGCTACTGCCACCCCCACCCACCCCCAAATCCTTCCTTTGCTGCTGCAGGGAATTTAGGGGGAGAATGGACAAGCTATACCCTGCGGAGAGAGACAGAGAGAGAGACAGAGAGACAGAGAGAGACAGACAGACAGACAGAGAGAGAGAGACAGAGAGAGAGACAGAAACAGAGAGAGGGAGAGAGAGACACAGAGAGAAAGAGACAAAGAGAGAGACAGAGAGACAAAGAGAGAGAGAGAGACAGAGAGGGAGAGAGAGACAGAGAGAGAGAGAGAGAGACACAGAGAGACAAAGAGAGACAGAGACAGAGAGACAGAGAGAGACAGAAAGAGAGACAGAGACAGAGAGAGAGAGAGAGAGAGAGACAGAGAGACAAAGAGAGGGGGAGAGAGAGAGAGAGAGACAGACAGAGAGGAACAGAGAGAGAGAGAGACAGAGACAGAAACAGAGAGGGACAGAGAGAGAGAGAGAGAGAGAGAGAGAGAGAGAGAGAGAGAGAGAGA